TATATTTAGTATTGAATGTGTAGAATCAGTTGAAAGACACGCCAGATGAAGCCATTGTATGGCGAAACACGTGTTGCGTTTTTGTAAAACAATTTAGTGAAAATCTCACAATAAAGTGTTTTTGGAATACGTTCCAAGAACTACCTCTGAGAGAGACGAATGATTCAGGGATGATGAGAGTGAGTGATCTCGAACTAAAGATGGACGATGGAAACTTGAGGAAGAAATGTCTATTTGTATAAAGTATCATCATTTGCATAACATATATCAGGACAATGGTTGGACACCTGTAATTTTAATGAATGATTGTCATTTTTGTTTTACTCAGCTCATTTTGTACTCAAAACCTAAATAATTATTAGTGGAAAATGCCTCGATAGGAAATATGTAATTTGCAGCTCAACGCCGTTAAAAAACATGCAGAAGTATATGCCATGTTTGTTTCATACAGAAGTTCTGCACTTGCGGATGTGGGAGTACGGTTCCTTTAAAACCTCTGTCAATACCATTAATTTGATAAAATTGATGAACTAAACGTGTTTCGCTAACCAACTTTGCACCATGAAGAGATGACCAAAAGTTCAAGTTATTAATTTTTTGGTTTCGACTTCTGAGGGTTGTCGGAATGAAAACGACAGCTGGTTGAAAAGAAACCATTTTCAAACCAGTGTTTCAACATCCCTCAGTTGCAAGTTTCCGTACATTTCCCATAATTTTTACTCCGCCCCTGGCATGGAAATCACCTGTGGAAATCCGAGTCCCTTCATCGAAAATAATTTCCTTTGCCCCTAGTTTGTAGTTTGTCGTGGCACAGAAGTCGCGTGCAGCAGACCTGCCAAACGAAGCCAAGTCGCGACGGCGTGCGTACATTTTCTTATTTCCCATTTCAATCGACGTTCCGAGTGATTAATAGTATGTTCCTGCATTTGTTCAATAAAAATGTAATGTCGTACAACGCTATAACGGTATTTTCGGTATATGAGGGTGAGTAGGCTTTGTTTTCTAGTTGTTAGTCCGTTATTCCACTTGCGTGCGTTCATATGAACTTATTTTTTTATACACAGCGTTTTGGTGTTTTGTTTGTAGTTTCAATTCGAAATCAATTGGTGGGACAGACGTCTGGACGGCCCTTAGTGTTTTAGTGGTTACAGTCTAGCGTGTATGAGACCTTTTCTTCAATTTTCATACACTGGTAAAACGTAGTTTTAATAGGTATACATGAAATAACTGATAATATCCACAGTGTTTGTGAATTCATCAACTATATACATGTCACTTTGTGCCTCGCACACAACATTCATTATTACTAACCAACAAGGGGTATCATTTTCAACAGCTCTTTTATGAATTCGCAGAAGACAAACACGAAGTGATCAATATATTAATTTTATTATTTTCTTCAAATCTAAGATGACCTAAGAAACTGGTAACTGGGATGAAACACAATACTTTCAGTGGGGTAACTGTCACTTTTGAAAACTATCCATAAGGTTGTTTCAAGACATTTCTCCGTTTTCTTCAAACTATAACATCTCAGTCAATACTAATTTACTTTAATATAAATAAGCGGTGATTTGTGAAACGTGAGGACGGACGTTGTCGTGGAGCAGGATCAGACCTTTTCTGCATTTTATCAGTTCGGACTCCCATTGTCTAATATGATATTAATTGATTTAAAATCCCGGAAAGAATCTGTGAAAAATTAAAATATAACAATTTTATTAAGCAAAAAACTGAAATTACTATGAAATAACATACAAGCAACAACAAAAAGTCAAAAAAAAATTACTGTTAACACGAACAGAAGAATTCAGATGGAAAATCAGAGAACAGCTGGATCGAGAACCAGTTCCAACATCTAATATCAGCAATGAAGAACGAAGAGCCCTGAACGGGCTATGTAGAGACAACACCATCAAGATCTTACCTGCAGATAAGGGAAACGCTACTGTTGTGATGGATACTGATCTCTACGAACAGAAGATCGTAAGAGACCCTACTGCATCAGTTGAAAGAAAGTTGTACCAGACTTTGAAAAAACATTTGCCGGATACCCTGCGAGTGCGGAGAATCATACATCGGTGAAACTGAGAGGTCTTTCAAAGTGCGCATTGCCGAGCACAAGAAACACACACAGCGAGGAGAACCCACAGCAAATCCGGAATACATACAGAGCATTCTTGGACTCATCAACATAACATCAAGTGGGCTCAAGCTGAAATCATCCACAAGGAGGAACACTGGTTGAGGAGAAAATTCAAATAAGCCGCATATATATTGTCCAACAACGCATTTAGCCTTTGGGAAGTGCCTGGGTAGCTCATCGATGTCCAACCACTGCCCCGAACTTCTTTTGTTGTCGTAGAAGATCCACTTTTCATCACATTTCCGATCCAAAAACGGATCGTATTCATGGATTCTCATCGTATTGTCCGATTTCATCAAATATCTTAAAAAAGTATCGTTTTGGTTGCGCAAAAGCCAAGAAGAACAGACCTCGAAACGTGATAATTTCCCAGTGTCCTCAAATCCTCGTCCTAGATTACTATAGCTCGACCACTTAAGATATGGAGCTACAACGACAGATGACATTAAAACGGACAAAACTTTTTAAATAATCTAATGTAAAAACTGTAGAACCAATTAGTAACTGTCTGGCCGAAAACACCACAAACAAGTGACTTGCAAATAATTAATAATTATTTTTGTTTTTCCAGTTGGTATTTATCCATTTAGGTAAATGATTTTGGGATTGCAAATTATTGTTTTACCAGCAGCCAGATATGGTACGAATAACAAAGCTTCATTATCAATTTTTATCAATTATTGAAAAGTTCGTTCCGCGAATTTTTCATCGCTTTCGATTTTTTTTTTAATCGCGCAGAGGTTGCTCAGGTCTTCACTTAGTTCCTCGCATGTATGGTGTGTTTCATCTCCTTGAAAATCTAGGTAGATCCGAGTGTCGTCGGCTTAAAATAATAAATGTTCTGGGTTGTAGAAGTATAATCTGTAGATTGTGAATAATAATAGACCTAAGTTAAATTCTTGGGGCACACCGCGATTTATAGTTTAACGAGAGTGACGAAACTCAATAACTACAATCAACTTGGTCTTGCCTAAATGATCTAGACTCTAGGTAAGACCTCGTTAGTCTTCAGTTCGCACAAGTTTCTACTTCTGAGGGTTAACAGAAAACATATTTTAAACATACTCTATAAAAATAAAATACTACAATTATTAGGATGGAACTTGGATTGAACAACACAAAAGTTGAAACATTCCAAAACTAAATTACTTGGTTTGAAAAGTTTTGTATGTTTCATGATTCTACTTTAAAGTGTGATATCTCAAAGAATACTTATTTCATTTGTTCGAAATAAGCGCCATTTAAATCCGTGCACGTTTGCCAAACGTAACATGAGTCATATCATAGAGAAGATACTTTTCTCTACTCAGTTTGTATTTCAAACATTCGTTGTGGAATAAAAATCAGATATCATTCACATGAGTTCTACTTTGAATGAATGGTGATAAATTGCACTTACATGGAACACTGTCACCCTCACTGGTATACATCGATGTTTCGCTGTAAGACACTTGCCCTAAGGCTCTTCAGTATCAAATTGGATAATATTATAGAAAATACACACCTCATTCATGAATTACTTCTTTCCCAAAAATTAATCACTCCTAAAAATATAACCCCTTCAACTCAAATAAAATTTAAGTAATAACCTAAGCTTTTCTCAAGTTAAACAATTTCAATAATAATTAGTTCAACTATGCAGAATGCATTTCGACAACCTATATTTGTTTAAACTCTTATCTCCAAATATCTGATGAATGTAAGCATGCTCGCTATTATTACATATAGAAATCGATCACGACGATTTCTTTCAAGAATTGTCCTACTTTTGTAGATTACGAAGAACATTTCGACAACTTTACTCCCTCCACGAGGAAAATTCGCCCCACGGGGTCGATAACCGTAGTCCTGCAAGACTGCCCACTAAAATGACCGTTGGACAGACACGCAATGCGGTTGTCTTCAAGAAAATCTAAATTATATAATCTTACTGCCTAATCGAGCACCACTTTTGCTTGGGTTCTTTATAGTGTGGGCGTTAATATTGTTGACCTGATTATACAGGTGAAATTTGCGGAAGTAGTTATTGGAATTTTGAGTTTTCATGCTATTCCTGGCACCGAGAGTAGATTACAGAAATTAATCTCTGGTGCGATAAAATCTCTCGCTTTGTTGCATTTTGAATACTGGATTTCTAATCGATCTGAGGGAGTGAGATTCATTATGTAGTTGTTTAAAGTGAACTTGCTGTCTATATATTATCATCCATTTATTTTTATTGCAATGGTTTTCACATTTTTTCATCGAATGATATTGATAGTTTTGATGGATGTTAGAAAACAGTTCTGTTTTCTTCACTTTTGCCATTTTGAGGCGCCTTGAACTCCTATAATCATTATAACAAAGTGGTATGGGTAGTTCGAGGAGTAAATCTCGATACTTCATCCGTTTCTTCATCTTTTTGGACGATATTCGAATCACCTGGAGTGGAAAACTATATCAAGAATATCGTAGTTCCATGAATTTGGTACCTATCATTCTTCAGAACGGATTCAATTTCAGAGCAAAAGGCGACATTGGTGTCTCGTCAATACCACAGGACTGCCAAAGGTGGTTTAAAACACTCTTAGGACCGCATTATGTTAGTAGATATAAGATGAGACTGCATATGGTGGACAGTAAATAAATAAGGGTCTTAGGTGCCTCGTAGGAGGCCATACATCCGCAGTCAGAGACCTTCATATCTATTACGCAACTAAGGAAAACCTAGGCATTGGAGATACCATCCTGACAGGCCATGATAAATCCCTCAGTTTCTCAGTTGGGCTGACTTGACCTGATGAAAACAAAGATCGCTCTCATTGATAAAAAGAACCTATGAGTCAGCTTAGTTTTGTGTAACCGCAGGAATAAACTAACTACTGCGGCTTTGAAACAATTCTTTTGCTTAACGGGTTCCAATTCAGTGACAGAGTTGTGGTTACCCCGTTCAGCGTCAAAAACATAAACAAGTTCATCGCCCGATCGAGCAGCTAATTGCTATAAAGATAAATGCTCTGACTCCTGTTTTTTATGGTCTCCTACCATGCAAAGGAGATGATCCGAATTCCTAATGACTCTACAAGCTCCAGCGAAAACTATTCTGTTATGAAGACACTCCAAACTCTGAAGTCTACGACCTCCCAGTTGTCGGAAATGTGTAGGTCACCGTGGAACGGATAGTTTAGAATGCAAACTCCTATAAAGGTGCATCCTTTTTTGGCATTTACGTCGAGTGGATACAGCGCCTTTCGAGTCCACTTGACTACTCCAAAAGAATAGAGTAGGATCAGAACGGCAAGCAATTTTGTGGTAGCAATTCTGTTCTTCCTCGACCGTCCTGGCGGATTTTGTGCTGATACTTGCCGGGGAGACAGTTCTTTACTATTTTTACCTCTTGGTAGTGTCGTTTCTCCACCCCAAGATAAGTATACGTTTCTCCGGTATTCAGATGATTCAGGATGCTTCCTTCTTTTTCTCATTATTATTTCCAAATGTGAACCATTATTTTTGAGACAGATACAACCCTTTTTCAAAGTTTTCTCTCACATGTAAGCCGCCATTGTTGCCATGAGTTGACATTCAAAGAAGACATACTCGAAAGAACGTGAAGCAGAGATTTACAAATGTTGCTTGGGCATAAAAATGTGCCAGGGTTCATCTCCAATGAAACCTAATGCACCCCATTTCAATTTATGGAATTGAATGAAGATGTGTTTGGTGCAGAAATTTACGACAGATTGCTTATTCGTGATTAAATAATATTTCAATATAACTAAAGACTGACTTTTTTTATCAAATTCAATGATGGAAAGCGTTTCTAGAATCATTTTATTCAAATTATATATTTTTGCAGGAATGAGAAATAAAACGGAAGCAATATATTTGCGTGCATCGGTATGTTTAGGTAACAAATATAGTTTTATTCACCCTGTTCCTGAATAATAGGTGCAAATGAGTTTATTTCATTAGGAGTTTGATAAATGTAATTTACATTAAAATGACTCTAACAAAAACATTTGAGGAACTCCTTTTTTAGCACAGCTGTTTGCAAGGTTTTGCTACCTTTTTCATTTTTAGTAACAGTTACAAGCAATTGGTTTGGATTGGATTGTATTTTTTGGCAACGTGGAAATTCATTAGAAACCATAGATCTTATGATTACACAAATTTTTAAAAATTTTGACAATTTACTAGGAAATGAATCGACAAAGTGATCTAGTGGTATAACCAGCCATATCACCTGATCTATCATCATTGCATTTTTTTCAGCCCAATGTAGAAATTTTCCACTGCAACTTCAGTAAATCCTTAGAAGCAGCGACAGATAATTGTAACCGATTACTGACATCAGAAAAATTGATTAATGTACTAGAAAGTTTGAATTATTGTTAATCAATTGGTAGAGGTCACTATTCGGTAGTTTTCTTCAACTTTTCACCAATTTAAGAGAAAATAAATAAAATAATTACAAATAATAATAAGAGACAATAATGTTTTGTTTTCTTCATATGAAACGTTCGAAATCGAATTTATCGATAGGGAATGAACCAATTCATTGAAAAGTTCACATAATCGAGGAATAAAATATATCTTTCAAATCATCCAACCTCCCACATACTTATCTTTGAAAAATATAGTGGGTACTTACTACTTACAAAATGATTGAAGATTGAGGTTATGGATATTAAATCACAATTGGGCCCCTCTCTGTTTCGAAACAAGGGCATTGCTTGACTAACAGTCTTGATGCTACCCTAGAAATTCTGATTTTTTTGCTGCTTTAACGATCGACAGAAAAAAATCACTCGAATACATCAGATAACATTTAATACTTTTCGTCTCACTATTACCACGAACCATTACTATATTCATCCAAAGCCAAATATACCATCCTTCCACAATTTTTAGAGAATGTTTCGTTCCCGAAGTAGAGAACTTCTCGGGTGATATGTCTTCTGAATGAAATACAATAAATTTGGCAATAAACTATGCATGATCTTGCAGAATGTCGATAAAATTAGTGAAATATAATATTATTGTCATGTCATCATGTCCTTAACTCAAACGAAAATTATACTTCGGATCGATATTATTTACCTCATCTATATACAATTCGAACTGATCAGTTTTCAGTGGTTTTATTATGTTGGGTCAGTGGCGTGCCTGTCTTTAAAAATGGGAAACAAATGTTACTGATAATCTAATATTTATTTATTTGCATTTCGACACGTTCGGTGATAAAATATATTCATCAATAAAAAAGCTTTTCTGATCCAACAGAATTTTAATAATATTCATGACGGATATTATATCCGATTTACATTGTCCTATAGCAGCGTTTCTCAAGTACTCCACCGACCTAGAAAATAAGCACAATTTCAATAACCCCCTTTTAATAAAAAAACACAGGAATAAATTTGGGACAATTTATTGTAGTGCTGTAGTGCTAAATTAGTAATTTCAATAGTTCAGACTTCCATTGTCGGATATAAAATGATTTGAAATCTCTGAAAAAACAAATAAAATTAAAGTGAATAGCTGAAAATAATAATTATATCAAGCAATGAACCATGAAATGAAAATAAGCAAGAAATTAAAAATTGAACAATAAACAAAAATTTGAAAAGACTTCAAACCAGGTTATCTCACGACGTTTCTATTCTTAGTATCCACAATCGTCTTTGGGTGATGACTGATCTATTTCTCCGAGAGATGACTATTTATAGTTCATTCGAACGGTTTCAATCACTTCTTTCCTCTTCACTAGTTTAGTGGGAGTTGACCGTTTTTCCGCTTGATTGAAAGTCTTCATATATTGCGTATCTCCCCATTAGCTTGGCTAAAGGCGTAGTTGGACAATATATATGCAGCTTCTTTGAACTTTCTCTTAAATCAGTGTTCCTCCCTGTGGATGATCTCAGGTTGGGATCACTTAATTTATGTTGATGTGTCCAAACATGCTCTGCTATTCCCTTCTCCTTCCTCTTTTGGTAGATTGATGGTGGTTGGATTCCCGGTTCGGTTACTGTCCCGTGTGAGTGGTGAAGATGATGCAAGGTTTTACGCTATTAATATGCTTCAGAAAGGTGTCTAGTTTTGTATTCCCATGGTTCCATACTATGAAGGTGTCGTCAACGTATATCAACCAGCCTCGGGGCTTCTTGTGGACTTCTTCAATGGCCAGAGTTTCATAGGCGATCCCATTGGCAGTCCCTCATCTTACTGTAATTTCATTTCTCGGTTTATTAAAAAAATCTGTTTAAAATCTGTTCAAAATCTGTTTTTCCGTTAATCAGCTGCCGCCCCCATACGAACGACAACTCTCAGAAGTTGAGAAACTTGTGCGAGCTAAGGACTAACGAGGTCTTACCTTTTAACATGTGATTCTTTAAAATAATTGTTATTTTTAGCTGTTCATTTAAATTTTTATTTTTTTTTCAGAGATTTCAAATCATATAGTGGAAGTTCCAACCTTGAAAAATTCCCCATAAAATATTGTCAACCATTTTCAAATAAATTACTTAATTGTGACGTGAAATCGAATTCCAATGGGGAATGTTCCTCAATTTGGGTTATTACAGCAAATGCAAGTTTGAACAAAATAAAGTTGAGTTCAATTCATGAGTTTTTCCAATTCACTTCGAAAATTATTCAAATTTATGTTTCAAATGTTGGGTTTTAATTTTTAAAGGGATTTGTTTCTAATTCACATATTGGCAACAGCGCCTATATCAAGTTCAAATAATTTATACGTACCTAGATATTCTACTTTAAAAAAGGAAAATTATCTTTATAAATCAACAATTAAGGCAAAATATAAATTATAGTTCAATATCACCTCCGCAAGCCACATAAACAACAGTTGTTTTGTTATTTATTTATATAGAGGAAGATAGGTTAGGTGCACAAAATGTCATATGTCACAGAATGTCTCGGAACTCGGAACATAAGTAAACAGAACAGGATGCCTCTGAAATATGTCATCTTTGTTTGTCTCATACAGGTAACAGATTCATTGTCCTTTATTAGCTATAACCGATGTTGCCAAATGGTGAAATAGAAACGAATCCCTTTAAATGTTGAATGCATTATTTCATTCCTCTTTTTTAAGTATTCAAATATTTTTCTAAAGAAAAAGGTTGAAATGATAAGTTTAAAATGCGTTGTTTTAGAGCTTTTTTATGAAAACTACTTAATTTTCGTCAGGAGGAGCATTCCCCATTGTAATCTGTTTCTGTATCTGTTTTTTATTCCAGAAACGCCACCAGTGTAGGAAAGTGATTATCGTTTTTTTATGGTACGATTAGTCCGAAGTTCAAGCTTTTTAATCATAGTTTCTATTTTATCCTAAACTTGTAAGATGTTACTATCACTTCCTTGTAAACTCAAGTTCAGTTTGTTAAGGAAACTGAAAATATCAGCCAGCGAGTATGAGACTTGCTGGCACTTATTTATTTACTTGAATGTCCATAGATAAGACGGCGGACCCCATACACATAGTCGCTGACCCTCAGGCGTCTGCGGGCCCATGTTAAGAACCACTGTCCTAAAGTATTCTACTGTGCAGTATACTCTATAAAATACTTCCTAACATTTTTGATACATTAACACAAAAACACATGCCATGACAAATATGAGTAAAAATTGGGATCTAGAAGAGAAATTAGGCCGCTGCCTACACCGCGACTTATAGTCTTCATCACTTCCACCAAACCAGCTGATTTATTTTATTTTTTCTAGATGGCAAGGGATTCTGGTGAAACTAAGTGAAAATGGAAAAGTACGAACAATTATCAATAGTCGGTGAAGGTTCTTATGGGTTGGTAATGAAATGCAGACATCGAGAAACTGATCAAATCGTTGCGGTTAAAAAATTTCTAGAGACTGAAGAAGATGCAACAATCCGAAAAATGGCTCTTCGGGAAATAAGGATGTTGAAAGTACCTATCTTAGTATTTTCTAATTCTATTACTCACACTAAAACTTCCAATTATAGATTCTGATTCTAAGATAAAGGAATTCTCAGTGTTATTGAAATTGTTTCAAAGAATATTATTTCGTTTCAGAGACTGAAACATGAAAACCTGGTAACGATGATAGAAGTTTTTCGACACAGAAAACGGTTTTATTTAGTGTTCGAATATCTGGAAGGAACAGTCTTGGATGAATTAGAGAAAATGCCGCATGGTTTAGGGGATGAAAGATGTCGCGAAAGAATATTTCAAGTTACCAGAGGTATCAGCTATTGCCATAGCAATAATGTAAGTATGAGCAGTTTTTGTATTCAAGAAACACGAGTCAAGGTGATTTGCAAACGTGTTAGTCTTATTTACTAAGAAAGTCAAATATTTCGCTCAATCATCGATCAAAAAAGACTGGCTGTAAATCTGATGTGATTTACAGACAACCTTCAAGTAAATCTGATTTGATGTACAGACAATCTTCAAGTATGCCCCCTTCTTGATTGTGGTGAAACTATTGCAATAAAAAAATATGTCATACCTACATATTCAACCCGTTCAATAATATAACTTCTTTTTCGTTTTCTTTTCCAAGATAATACACAGAGATGTCAAACCGGAGAACGTTTTAGTGTCTTCACTGGGCGTAGTGAAGCTCTGCGATTTTGGATTTGCCAGATTAATCAGCGCTACAGGAGAAGCATGTACTGAATATGTGGCTACAAGATGGTACAGAGCTCCAGAACTACTGGTTGCGGAACCCAACTATGGCCCTCCCATAGACATTTGGGCTATAGGGTGTCTATTTGCTGAAATGATGACAGGAGATCCGTTATTTCCAGGAGAAAGCGATATTGATCAGTTCCATCTGATTGTTAAATTACTAGGTGAGTGACAACATGTTTGAAGCTTTCGCTGCCGAGTTTTTCAGTGGCACTAGTTTTCGGGTTTGAATGCCATCCATTTTTGGAAGATCATGCAAATATTAATCTCTCCAAGAAATATACCATTTCAATTTAAATAGTGAACATTATAAATACATTATTATAATTAAAGTGGAAGAAGTATATGATTCATGCACCAGCAGAGGTAAGACTTTTAACACACAGAAATTATGTCCTTCTCAAATCATAACTTCATAAAGGGCTTTAACCAATATTTCAATTCAGTTTAGTTTATTTTCACTTGAAAATTTGTTGTTTTATTCATTCTGATGGAAAAAGTCACAAACATTCGAAATTGGATTATAATTATTCTCCCAAGAAACAATATGTGCTTATAATTAGGGACTAGAACTGCATAGTATAATAAAATGACAGAAATAAGTTTTTTTAGGATAAACACATAACATACCTTGAAAAAATAAAAATGAAATGCGGTCGAATATGAAATTGGTTTCAGAAAGTATACGTTGAAAATATCTATCCCTTTTGGCAGGTAAATCAATAAAAACATTCAGTGCAGATTAGAAAATGTTTTGAATATCATCATGAATCATTCTATCAACTCATCCTAACAATGGAAAAGAAAATATCTATTGAATAATTCATTCATTCATAAATATGAGAAATGAAAGTTTAACAACAGATTTCAGTTATTAGATGTTGAAAACGAATTCAAGTGTAATACAAAAAAAAAGCAAACCATGAATTTTCACTAATTAGATTTTTTTCAATTAATATTGACATCTTTTTTTTTCTGATTGATTCGGCCGTTACTTGATGAAGATCCATAGTAATTTCACAAACTACACCTAAACGATTTGATCTCCATATTTTTTCAATGAAGTTTGTGGAGATTAAATCGTTTAAGTGTAGTTTGTGAAATATTGACATCGTACAGCTAAAGGTAGATCAAATTGTCTGTGAAGTACAAAAAGAATTCGGAAACTTCAATCAATTGTTATTTGGAAGAAATCTCTCGAAAACAAAAGTATGAATAGACTAATTTTTTTTTGTATTCTGAACTATTCTATTGTGGCATTTTTGATGATATAATAGAACTGTCAAAATCTACTGCTTTTATAAAAAAGTTTCTCTCTCTTTGTTCCAAATGATGAAGTCTCGCACGACCACCATAATAATACAAAGTGTTCACTTTTTCAGGAAAACCTTGCTCTCGTCATGAACAGCTTCTATGTAAAAACACCGAAATGAAGAGCGCCATTAAAGTTCCCGTTGAAAGCAACATAGGATTCTACAAACACTTTTCCACTTGGCCAACCCTCACAATAGAATTCCTCGAAGGCAGCATGAACATGGATCCCCAGCAAAGGCTCTCAGCCGACGATTTACTGAAACACCCTTATTTCACCCATGATATGTTCCCTCAGCGATTTTTACCGGCTCTTAGAGACAAGGTGAACATCGAACTCAATAGTCCGCTACTGAGGAAATTCAAGACTGAAATTCTGATGGCTACTGACAAGAAGGACGAATCTAAGAGGAAAATGCCTCAGAAAGATTCGAAGTGGAGGTTTTCCTTCGCAGAAGGTACCATGAAGAGGAAGCTGAGCAATGAAATCATGAACAACGAATCATTGAGTGACAAAAATCTCATATCACTGACGAAAACTGCACAGCGACTGAACGTCTTACAACAGAGATCTTCCCAAAAGCAGTCCTCGTTTTCGAAAGATAAGTCCGGGAAAAACCTACAGACTAATAGCAATTCCTCGGAACTGCAAATGATGGAGAAGTCATTGGAGAGCTTGATCAAATTCAATAAACACCCGTCTGGCAATCAGAAAGATGATTCGTTTCTCCCCGATACCTCCCCTCCAACATCTTTCCATTTCGAATATGGCGACTACAGCAGATCTCCCAACAGCCAGACTGTTTTGCATCCAAGTATAAATAACATCAGCTTCAGTAGAGACCCTCTGAAAAAATCGCCTAATGTCCTCCACAACATAAGTAGTACCAACACAAAACCAGTCCAAGTACCGCTCCTGACGAATCCTAGAACACAGTTTCTGAAGAAGTTGGAGAGGAATGTGGTCGTAGAAAATATCTTTGGCACCGGCGATCAGACGCATGTTTGGAACAATGGTCCTATTTGGTTGAACAGTTTTACCACAAGTTTCTATAAGAAGAAAGAGGCGAAAACCAAGACTGACGATTTCAGCTTACCAAATTTACCAGGAGGTAAGATATGATTGAATAATTTCAATTACCACTTGTTTACAGCCAATTTACGAGTGTAATGCCAAGGGCAGTTCTTTGTTAATTCTTGGTCCTTAATGCAAATCATAGTAAAACTTTTCTAACGCGTAAGATTTTTGATTTACAGTTTTTTTCACAAAAATTTAATGAACACAACATTCCAAATTTGCTTTTTCCCTAAATGGACTATTAGGGTCTAGATTACAAGGATGGCATTTACTAGCCCCTAAAACGAAAGTTACAATATTTAGGAACCGTTACCATGAGAGCTATCCTCGTTTTTTACTACGCAGGATAAAATGTGTTTTTGTGTAAATCCAAATGTGTGATGGAAAAATTAGGATTTGCACATAACCTGAACGAATGGCGTTTACTTATAGATTCGTCTAAAACAAGTTTAAAAGCCGTTCTGCTCCCTAATGCTAATAAAAGACCCTCTATTTCTCTTGCACATGCAGTTGCCATGAAGGAAACACACGAAAGTATGTCACTTATTCTAAATGCACTAAGTTATAAAACATATATGTGGCAAATATGCAGTCACCTAAAAGTGATAGGACTATTACTAGGTGGGAAAGAAAGTTTTTGGATTTCTACTACTCCATCTTGATACAAAAAAAGATGTGGGAATCTTCCAAAGAAAGGAAGGAAGTATTCAGTTTGAAAATAAGTAACTCTATACATGGATGTGTAGATCATGCAAAGAAGTAACTTTCAGACACAAACTGGAAGAAAGTCCTCCCGAAACAGCTACTTTCATATAAACATTGAATTACACGAAATATCTGCCACACCTACCTACTAAGTCTAAGGTTCACATGAGAGGCATAGGTAAGGTGTTTTCACCTGAACTTGGATATACCATACGCACCTCTCCGAAATACATTTGTGGAGTTGTTTCCGGACTTTGTCTGCAGGTGGCGCAGTGTAAAGTCTTACTGAATCAACTGCAGATAGAGCTCGTGACTAGTTGGAAATAATTTTGTTTGTTTCGGATATTTAGACGGTTAACTCCGTCTGAAGTGACCCTCCCGATACTGAATGGAGCTAGTACTCCGAATTCTTCTCTCTTCTTTATTGGCCGATGCTTCCTATTCAGGCGCAATTGGGTACTCCGAATTTGGTCTATCGATGGTCGTCTCGACCAAATGGAAGACTTTGCCTGATGGTCTTTGCCTAACTTTGCCTAACCCAGCTAATGCCACGCTTTCTGCGTGGCATTAGCTGGGTTAGTTGTCGTTTTTCTGTGGGATATCTGTCACACATACCTACAAAATCGTAGGTTCATATGAGAGGCAAGGGTAAGGTGTTTCCACCTGATCTTGAGTATATCATATGCAGCTCTCCGGCAAATGTTTAGTATTCCCGCTCCCACCCCTGAGTGTGCGTTTGTAGAATTGTTTTCGGACTTTGTCTGCAGGTGGTGCAGTAGAATATCCTATTGAATCAACTGCAGATAGAGCTTATGACTATATAGTTGAAATTAATTCTGTTTGTTCGGGATATTCAGACAATTCACTCCGTCTGTAATGACCCTCCCGGTACTGATGAGGAGCTATTACTCCGAAACGGTCTATCGGTGGTCGTCTCGACCAAATGAAATTAATTTCAGCTTTTCATTCATACATGTTACTTGCTACAGATCTTCCAAATGGAAAATTTGCACAGGTGCCTGACTGATTTACTTCAGCTTTCTACATGGCATTAGTTGAGTTAGTGGTTGTTTTTCCGTCGGGTATCTGCCACACTTACCCTCGCGATACTAACGAGGAGCTAGTACTCCGAAACCGGTCAATCGGTGGTCGTCCCGTCCAAATGGAAGACGTTGCCTGATGTTGTTGTCAGTCAGGTATCTGCGACAGGTATCTACAATATCATAGGTGGTATTACTGATTTTTTGTTATTTTCGTGAATCCTCAATTTTTGCTCCAATTCAAGATGACTACACAGTGGGACTACTTATAACGGACATTATACAGCATATTGCAGACACCCATATAGTGGCACGTGGCATGAATACCACGATTCACACGTGCTCCCAATTTCGCCAAAATCACTTGTGAACGATGAGGCATATGTCCTCTTTTATGAACAGGAGGGAACGAAGCAGCACCTTTGATGTGTTTTTTTTTTATAATCTTAGTTCTTTGAATTGATTTGTAGTACATGATTGTTCCAAATTTCATTATTTATTGTAATATTNCGGAAATGTCAGTTTCTGATCCAGAATTGTCTCAGAAATCCAAAAATGTTACAATATACAGGGTGTTCCATTTAAAAATTCAGAACCGGAGCCATTTCCGCTGAAACCGGAAGTGACCGGAAAGTGAAAAATATGTGAAAACTCTCCTCTCCACATACCATTTATCTGTACCAAATCTCGTTTTGATACACCTAATAATCTAGAAGTTATGACTTGTCTAATAGATTCGTTGACACCCGGTATAGTGGCACGTGGCTTGAATACAACGATTCACACGTGTTCCCAATTTCGCCAAAATCACTTGGTGAGCGATGAAGCATATGTCCTCTTTTATGAACAGGAGGGAACGAAGCAGCACCTTTGATGTGATTTTTTTTTATAATCTTAGTTCTTTGAATTGATTTGTATTTCATGATTGTTCCAAATTTCATTATTTATTGTTATATTAAATTGTAATTGATTGAATAATAATATTATGAATGATGATGAAAAAAAATAAAAAGATGACTAATAGTTTTATTTTATTTTAGGAAATATACCGTTTTGGTATACCCCAGGGATCCATATTGCCTCCAACCATCTTTTTATTGTAAATCAACGATGTATTGGAAAATATATTGCTTTGCTTACGACAGCACACTTGTCTCGTCATTCCCATTAGATTTCAGGACATTAGCTCCGGACGCCCATCTTCACAGGCAGCAGGAGGTTGTATATCTTAATGAGGATCTAGAGGTAATTTTGAATTGGGGTGAAAGTAACCAGGTTTGATTCAATGCCACAGAAACCCAGGCATAAGTTTTGTCCAAAAAGATAAATGTCAGGACAGACAATACCGCTTTCTGCTTCGATAAGTTTGTT